GTGCAAACAAAAACAGAAAGCGGTGAAAGCAAAGAACCTTATATTTGTTAAAAAATGGAAGTAAACAACGAAATATTTAAATATGTATAGATTTTAATAATTAATTAGTGATATTTCAGCCAAATCAGTGTAGTACCAATGACATGTAAACAAACCGTCTGACGTTTTTACAGGAAATAGTGCTTTTTGCGTTCCTATGCACTTCTGCATCTGTTCTCCTTTTACTCTCTTTTGAGAGCGTAAAGTTGTAGTTTGACAGTTCCACAGGTTTTAGTCCGAAGTTCAAAGGAACAGACTTATTGTCAAGACAATTATGTCAAAATCAAGGCGCATTTATACAAGGTGGTGTTACTGGCGAATTTAGGGTGTTATGTCAAATCTCAACTCGCTCCAAAGTTTACATGTATTTTGTTTTTGCTTTTGATGGGTGTGCTGTCAAATCAGTAAAAGCAAAAACAAAATACATTCAAGGCGAATAAATCAGCTGATTTTACAACACCCCCTTGTATAAATTCGCCTTGGTCAAAATGATGTGTTTGTTGTAAACACGGCGAATTCATATAACAACAAACACATCATTTTGACATAATTGTCTTGACAATATTGTCCGGTGTATTCCTAAAAGTAAGCGGCGAATAAGAATACAAATGGAATTCTTTGCCTTTGCGAACGTTAACGCTCACAATCGCATTGAACTGTATAGCAAGCTTTAGCAAAAACAGCCCATTACTCGCGGCGCTGTCAAAGCGACGCCATCGCCAACGCAACGCCAAAGTTGTATGTGGACGGGCCTTAACATTGTCAATTTTGACATTTGATAAGAAATCATGAAGTAATTTTTGAGAAGAAAAATCCTTTGGAATAAGAAATTCAATAATAGGAATAATAGGAACCAATTCAGGAAAGATTATAATTTATTTAGCTTACCTTTTATGAAGCGAATAGCAGCTGTATGGTAAAAATGGCCACAGAAGTAGAAACTCCAGGAGTTCAGCAAAAGTCGAAGAAACCTTCAGGTAATTATGTATATGTTGTTTGTAAAAAAACGGGGGTGTGCTGTTGTAAACAATGACTAATTCTATTGATTACTTGTACATTGCAAGCATAAATTTTACATTCACATTAAAACGATAGTAAATATACTTAGATAAATGCATATGTCATATTTCAGATTCGGCCTTCAAGCAGCAACGACTTCCTGCATGGCAACCAGTATTAACTGCAGGCACCGTGTTGCCCACCTTCTTCGTCATTGGAATTTTGTTCATACCAGTGGGAGTGGCATTGCTTTATTTCTCCGATGAAGTTAGTGAGTTTGTCTATGATTACACCCACTGTAAACAAGAGGGGGCAGACAATTTGACCTGTGCCGAATATATTACTAACCATCCTAGTGGAAAATGTGAATGCAAAATTGAATTCGATCTACCAAAAGATTTCACAGTAAGTTAAGTTTTAACCTTTATGTGTACATATAAGATTTGGGTGGGCTTTAGTAGTCAGCCGCACCTTGTGTTTTAAGAAAACCAGGTGGAATTAACAAATGAAACTTGGTCAGGATGTTAAGGGAGGTATCCTCTAAAACATGTATAACTAAAAAATATAAATAATATCATTGTTTATAAGTTATTTGTTGTTAAAATTTCTTAAGTCGTTCCACTTGGTTTCCTTAACAAAAAAGCATTTGTGCATACTTTTATATATATAAATGCACATAACACTGTACT